TCAAATTACTATATAATATACTCTGTTCCTATATCAGAAATGCTAACTCTGAAATACAGAAGACAGGATTATGTTAACAAATATAGGATATACATTAACACTAAAGGTAAAAGATATATAAATAAATATATATATATATATACACATATACACATATATAGGTTGGTGAATTACCTCACCATTAATAGGGATTAATATTAATATTTATATTTATAATTAATTGGTATTTGTACTTTCCTCCTCACATCCAAGAAAATCTTAAATCATAGAAGAAAGCCTCAAAAGAACTTAGCTAATTAAACTGATAGCAAATGCTAGTATACTCAGTATATATTGCCTGTATTATATGAAAAAGCAGCCTTGTTCCTCTATTCAGTTACAAAGAATTTAATCTAAAACCCCATGATGCTAGCTTCATTAATCTCCCCAAAAACAAACAAACTGCTCGTCAGCTCAATCATTCCCTACGACTGGGTAACCCGACAGCAATGGTCAGGCTCGTGGTGTGAGCTTTCCCAGATGATTTAAGTAGGCCAAAAATGACAAGGAAAAAGACATGACTCATCTTGAAATTAAGCTATTATAACTAACTTGTAAAGGACAACCTTTACATTCTTAAGTACATTTCTCTCTTAAAACTTTAACAAGAAACTGGTAACAGTAGTAAATAAAACACCTACTCATTTTCCACATCTCTGCTCTTCTGTGCCAAAATTTAACATAAATGGGTAGAATTAAACGTAGCCTATAGCTTATGTAACATAATTATATGTTGTGTTTTACACTGTTTCAAAACGGACACATTAAAATAATCCAGTCTTGGCTCCTATGCACTAAAGTCAATAAAGGTTATTAAGGCCAACTGCCATATAAATGCAGTGCTACAGCAGCATGAGAAACTGTCAGGACAGGAAATGCAATTCAAAAAAATTCAAGATGATCTACTCTTCCAAGAGGAAAAAGCATAAATAAATTCCTCTCCAGTATATAAATTATCAGTACTTCTGAAAATGTTTATTCTGGAAATTATTCTAGAATATTTCTATTGGATTATACCAAATGACCTTTCTTTTTTTAAGGTCAAAAGAAAAATGAATAAATGTCATCAATTTAGAGGATATCACACCTAGCATTCTTTTCTATATCACTGTGAATTTGATAGTGTTAAAACATTTTTATAGGTAAAATAAATGTCAGTTTTGCAAAGCGCGATACCAGACCCTGAGAGACAAATGGCCTATCCATTGAATCTCTGGCTACAGCAAGACTTCCTCACCTCACAGGAGATTTCAGCTTTTCATATTTCTCTTTTACCCAGAAAGCAAAGCTTGTGCAGCTTCTTTCAAATGGTAACTCTCTCTTATCCTGAAGAGTCTCCTCATAATACACTAATCTTGGATGTGGGGTGGTGGGCTGGTTTAAAAACATAAAATAAAATACAAATATTTGAACAGTGTTGTAGTGTTATAGTATCATCCTGAAAAAGGGGCCAAGATGAGAGGAAAGGCTGGGCAAAATTCCTGGGTCATAAGAAAGGGTGATGTTGCTTTGAGCTTATTAATGGCTCAAAAATGCATAAGGCAATATTCAGGAAAAATGTGATATTTTATCAGAATGTCATTCAAATATAAGGTCTAACATTTACATCAAAAGAGCAAGCACAGAGTAAAACTATCCTTGGGGAGATTAATGGCAAGAATAAACAGTGCGATAAAAAATGGTGCCCGCTGGAACAGGGAATGGGAAGTAGAGGCTAGGAGTTCTAGAGGCAGCTGACTAAATTTTTTGAAATACAGGACTGGTTGTGGCGTGTGAAGCAATTACTATTAATGGAATAAATGTGATTTCAAAGCCCATTTTCCATTCTTCTTCTATGTCCTCCGTGAGACTAGAGCTTCCAACTACAGAGTGAAAAGGACCACGAGACAGAGAGAAACCACCGTGCGGGTCTCTTCTCTGGTACAAGGGCTGCCAAAGGTTGCTTTCCTCATAAGCTGAAGGTGGAAAGTGATGTACATATTGCCTGAGGTTTTTCGTTTTATTTTCTCACCAAAAGAGATCTCACCAAAAGAGAACACACAACTACATTAATTAGAGAAGCCTTTCTACAGTGCTTGTGAAATCTACACATGATTTCACAATCCAAGAAAAACATAAATAAAAAATATTTGCCTAAAAGGAGCATACTTTTGAATAAGAGATTCCCTGCAAGCAACGTGAGTTCATTTAGCAATGCCGTTTATTCTATAGAATCCAAATGTGCAACCAAACGCTGCACTTTTTATGTTAAATTGCTGTTGAATTTGTTAACCCACAACCGATTTCCTGTGTTATAGTATCTTGGAGATTACAGCTAACTTGAAGCAACGGGAATAATTCTTGACAGTTAATGGTGCATTTGTATGCATTTTCCTGAAAGGCTAGGATCTTGGGGCCTCAAACTTGTAGCTCAACATTGCCCCCTACTGCTTGCAACTGGAAAAATCTGAGGTGGGCCAGTACCAGGTAGGAATTTAATCAGCCAGCGCCAGTTCCACCCCAAGTACACAAATACCAGATGGCCCTGCACTAACAGAGCCGCAGAACCATGCACTTTTCCAATGATTATTCTCTTCTGTCTCTTCCAAGGGCAAAAATAAAGTATGATGAATTTGCTGAAAGTCAGTTAAAGAGGCTTGAAGCAATGCTTACATTTAATTTAGAAGTACCATCCCTTTTATCTTGGCCCAAACCTTCAGTCTGCTGATAATGATCATCCTGAGGCTTGCTGAGGAGAGACACTGAAGCCATTGATTTCTCTCTGAACACAAAAATGCCATAAGAACCGCAAGGAAACTCACCCTGGAGAATTCCCAAAAATGCTCTTCTTTTTAGTATTTTTTACATAAGAGTTATAAGGTAAATAGAAGATACTCCATCTAACTAATAGGCCGGCGTCACCAAATAAATTATGACTAAATCTCTTAAATGAATTCATAATGAATATCACCAGTAAGCTCACAACACCAAAGATTTCACTTGAAAAGAACAAAAACTGTTGAACAAAAGCAACTCAATTTTTTTCTTTTTGCAAAATCAATGAATTATTTTATTTGTTACCAACTCTAATTCACAGAATTGTCAAATTGCCAGCTGGAAGTCAACCTGATATCTGAGTCAAGATGTAGCAAGTAAAGAGGTTCTAAGTCCTATGTAAGGGGCCCAAACCAGAATTACAAGTGAAAAAAAATTTCATGAAACTGAAGCTGCCTTTATGTGCACATCACATAAAAATAGAGAATACCCTACACAGGCTAACTTTAGGACTAGCATGAGGGAGATGATTTAGGCACGGGCTTTCCATACCTTCAATGCAGTGTTACAATGCTCAGCTCTGCACTCATTCAGGTCTTTGGTGGAACCCATCTTTGTGATACTATTACTACACTAAAAGAAGGAAGGTAACATCCTTCCCCAGGTAATATAACCCTGAAAAGGCATGACTTAATGACGTGAGGAGATGTCTGGAAAGCAGGCACTTCAGGGATGTGACTGAAATTTTAATGAGCAGTACCACCTATATGTGCAGATTAGCTTGTTGTATCCAGGACAGTATGGTCTGTGTCATGGCACTAGGTGAACCATGTGTCACGTGGTACTAGTTCTGTTGTGGTACTAGCTAAACCATGTGATACTAGCTCTGTCGTTGTACTAGCTAGCCACATGGTACCAACTCTGTCATTGTACTAGCTAAGCCACGTGGTACCAGCTCTGTCATGGTACTAGGTAAACCACATGGTACCAGCTCTGTCCTGGTACTAGCTAAGCCACGCGGTACTGTGTGGTGATTTAGCAGGCTTTATCACTTTCCACTACATTACAAATTCAACTGTTTGGAGGCAGAACGGTAAGGTAGTGAAGGGAGTGACCTTCTTGAGTTCAAATCCCAGTTCCCCTATTTACTAGCTCTATGACCTTGAGGAAGTTATGTAAACATTTTGTGTTTCAGTCTCGTTTGCAAAATGGAGAAAAATAATACCTACTTTATGGCATTGTCATAAAAGTTAAATAAGTTATATATAAAACATTTAGAATAATGTCTGGTACTTAATAGTAACATGTAAGTGTTTGCTATTTATCACTGTTACTTAAATTAGGACTTAATTCAAGACCTCCAATTGGCCTCAGCTTGCCTTCCAGCTACATTTCCTACCATATCCGCTGAATTCCTTGTTCAATCACACTGCACCTCCTGACCTCTAAACTTGTTTGTACAGTTCCTGGAGCCTAACGTTCCTCTCCAAAGGCCCTAACTGACCCTGCTCCTCGCCATCCAAAGCCCCCAAGAGCCACATCTCCAGCTTCACTTGTCCCAGCACTGTAGTCTGAATTTCATACTCCCTTCCTCCAGACTGGAACTTTTATTTTTTTAATCTCTATTATGGGATTTCATTTGAGGTATTGCAGCACCTGGCTATATTCAGGTTTCTTTCCTTGTTAAACTGAATGTAGTGGTTGCGAGCACAAGCTTTAGAGCCAGACCGCCTGGGTTTCACTCCTGCTCTGTCACTTACTCTGTGACCTTGGGCGAGACACTTTATTTCCCTAAACCTTAGCTTCCATGTCTATAAATTAAGACTCCTAACAGGTCCTACACCTCATAGGACTGTTGTAAGAGTTTTAAAAGTTAATACAGGGAAAACCCTCCCGACAGTGCCTGGCACATTTGAAAACACAACTGAATTTTAGGTATTATTGTTGTATTGCTCTCTCCTCATTGGCACTCCCTAGCATCTGTCTAGCACAGTGCCTTCCATATATACAGGAAATATTCCATCGATGTTTACCAAACTGAACTCAAGTTGTTCTGACAAAATCCTGGCTCTTCCCATTACCCTACCAAGGGGAACCTAATTCAAGAATTGAGAACAAGCAAATGCATTTGCCTATGCAACAAAGCAGCAGAGGATTTATAGAGCACAGCATCCCAGAAAACAGCACCCTGGCTCTCATGTGCTTACCACACCCTCCATCCTCTTCCACAGCTCTTCCAGTTGAGTCATAGGTTGACACCACCAGTCAGTGCACTTTTTGTATCGGTTGCCTTGAAACCAAAACTGTCTCAGCCACTCAAACTCCACCTGTGGACCACAAAGGAAAGGCAACAGTTACAATGCCCTTGTGATGGACAAACGAGGACAGTAACTCTGTTACTCACCTCCTCTGGTAGCTTTATAGCCATAGGGTGACAAAAGGTGAGAAAAGTTCAGCCTAACCAGTATAATCTGGAGTCTCCAGAGCATTTTTGCAAAGCCACAAAAAAATGAGTAGTTTTAAAGCTGAGGTCTGCTTAGTAAGACAAATCTGCTCAGGCTGGGGAGGGGTTTTCAATCACATTTATTTGTCAGACATGAGGAAACTATAATCAACAACAAATACTGAAATCCTGAAGTACACTGCAGCCTGCATACACTCAGTATGATGGAAAAGATATAATCAAAATATGGTTTTATTAAACATCTTCACTAAAGGCTAGAATTTAGAGCAAAACACAGAACCATATTAGGAGATACCAATCTTAAGTTTCTTAGATTTAAAATAAGTAAGCAATTTACTCATGACCCAGGAGGAGCTGGTGATAATCTCAGCCCATATAACTAAACAACATAACATTAATTATGGAGGCATACATTAAACCTACAGAGCCACTGTAATTGTTGCTTTGCAACTCAGGGCAAATGCTAACAGATGTAAAGAAAGCAAAGACACTAGTAATTTATTTTCCTTCCTATGAATCTACTATGGTAAGCTTCTATTATTTGCCTCCTTAGCATTCCTCCTTCTACTGTAGCAAAATCCCACTATTCCTTTGGAAACCCATCCTCTTCCCCAGTTTCAGTCTATGCAGTCTGAAAGGGTAGAATGTGCAACCCAATGCTAAGCCTATCAGCCCACATTTCTCTAGTCACACAATTGCATATAGGCATATGTTCAATCAGAGTAAGTCTTGAGACTATAAGAAGACTCAAGAAAAGGATTCTACAACCATTTTGCTACCAACAGGAACCAGCCAAATAAAGTTAAAAATCATGTCCTGGTGATAGCAGCTGATTCTTGATCAAGCTATTCCTGAAGGCCTTTTTATTTAAACCAATTCAGATTGAGTTTTCTGTCCCTTGCATTTGAAATAATCTATGTGTGTCTCTGTATCTGTGTGTGTGTGTGTGTGTGTGTGTGTGGCTGAGTAAAATTTGGAAGGGTAGGAATTTGTTTCCTATCTATTTTCCAAGTCTTCTATCACTCATCTTCATTGAACAAACAAATTTTACCATCAAAGTACAACTCTATCCATCCCAGAACTCTTTTTACCTTTGCCCTCTAAAGAAACAGAGTTTTCACAGCTTAATTTTGGGTCTGGCTTCACTACAGTAAACATGTTCTAGATACAGACACAGAACTATTATAATCTTCACCTGTTACCACAAAGAATTTTTTTTATTTATCTATATTGAACTTTCATGAGCCTTACAAAAGCAACTTGTGAAGATTTAACAATAGTAAAAATGACTCAAATAACTAACCTGAGAACACCAAGTCATATGAAAGGGTTTTAGTTTACATTAACTAAATGTTTGATATGTAGAACTGATTTCAGTCAAAGCTGTTTAAACAAAAAAGAAAAAAAGGAATGTAGACAACATTAAAACAATAGTTGCTAAACCTTATCTGTGGTGTTAAGAGAGACAGTGGTTAACAGAAGTAAATCTGACTGCTTTGAAAGAAGAATAAATAAAGTGTAGTTCAACTGCTCTGAAGATACAGGTTTAACATTATTTATTACAGGAAAAAAGGAGTTCTTTTTAATAGATTTCACATGAAATTTGCTCACACTACAGACAGCCTGTCAACAAAGCAGCAAGCCCTATGTTACGGAAAGCAGAAAAGATTTTATAAGCTTTTCTTAACTTTGGGGTGGCAATTTACATTGCTGAGGGTAAAACAGTATTGCAGGAAATAAAATAGATTATCATATGTAATTAGTTCTTTTGACCTATCAGAGTACTCTGGAGTCTGGCTTTCAGTAAATTAAAACTCAGAAGCAAGGAGAGGGATATACATGGAAACTTTGTGATCAGACAAAAAAGCAAAGAAAAGCCCTGTCCATTTTAATAAACAATGACTTCATTTTCTCCTCAGATGCCCAGCTAACGACTATCTTTTGAGACAGAACAGTGTCATGATTAAGAATAAGGGCTCTGGAGTCAGTTCAAAACTGGGCTCCACTACTAAATGACTAATGCCACCTATAAAATAAGGATAATTACATATCAACATAGGTTTGAGGTGAGGACTAAGTGGGTTAATGATGAAGAGCCTACTAAATGCCAGGTACTTGCTAGATGCTAAGAACACAAACTGAGCAAGACCACAAGGCCTAGAACTTACTGTTCTGAAGGATCTTGCTATCTTACGATATTTTCTCACCAGGAAATGTTTTAATATCCTTGTCATCAGTTTACACCTACACCCCTCCCACTGAGGGGTTAGAAAAGTTCAATACTGAGGACTTCCACCTAACCCAGTATTATTCATGAGCTTAAGTGTGGCCCATGAGATACAGTCTTTGTGGGCACCAAACCCACTAGAATGCGTTTTATTCAACTCCATAACCTGACTTTCTCATTTCAATGCTCTGGGCAAAAAAAAATACAGGGTTTTAATCAAATGCCAGCCTCACCAGTTCTCCCATTGCCAAGAGAAGCAGTTGGCTCCTTTCTTAAAATTAATTAAGGAAGCAAAAAATTTTTCCTGCTGTTTGATTCAGAGTTTGTTACCAAAAAAAACCTTTTTTTTAAAAATTATTTCCTTCCCAAACTCTGGAGATGAGAAAGAAAAGCCTGCAGGGTAGACTCTGCATAAACACCAAAGAAAGGGTCAGGACTCAGAATAGAATCAAAGCCTTATTACTTCAGGGATTAAAAAAAAAGAAAAATAGAAGTCCAGCCATACTGACTGACTGATAAAGTTCCACCCATGATAGGAGGAGGGTCTTCATCCCATTCTCCAGGGTGTGGTCCCTCTGGGAGGCTCAGAACTACCACATCAGATAAACCATCAGGAGGGCAGCAGCTAACTTGAGGCCAACGAACACTCTACAGGTGACACGGATCCTTGAAGATGTGAGTGGCACGGGGACAACAGCCAGGCGCTCCCTCAAGGTTCTCTGTGAGTTCATGACGCTTGTAAACTCAACTCCCAGACTTTGGCTATACCCTTAACAGAAATGCACTATTGTTTAATCTTCTGAGCAGTTATAAGACAAAGGTAAGTAATGCCCACAGGTATCAGAAGGCACACTGATAGCCTAGAGGCCCTGCGAGATTTTGGAGGATCTTCTGAATCATTAGAGAAAAATGAAAATAAGTTCATAACAGTGCTAGTGTCATAGCTATGACCCAGAAAACCATCTCTATAATCCTCTTAACCAACCTATACCCACCTACTCCATGGAATAGTCAAAAAGGAGACCAATTAAGAAAAACTTTTCTCCTAGAAATGTCTAGAATAAGTCTAAAGGGAAAGAAGAAACAGAATCCACCCACCTACATGAACATCAGTCACTGGGTAAGTAGGCACTGGGCAGCACCACTCACGATCATTACTTATGAGCCACTACATCACCAAATAGTTGTGAATCAACCCTATCACTCTTACAGGTAGACAACTGTCACCTGCTTTTCTCCTACCAAGTTAGTTTGGGCTCTTGACTTGGTCTCACGTGAGATGTGTGAATACGCCCACTGGGGTTAACATCTCACTGTAATAACCAGTATAAATTATTTCAGTGAGAAAGACATGAGACCAGGGAGAGACGCTCAAGTCCAATCTACAAAGAGCTACCCAATGAAGGCCTTTTCATTGGAGCTCATAGTAAAGGAGATGCAGGTCTGATCAGTACAGAAATAGAACCAAACAATGCCATCAGAGGAAATCCACTTGGTGAAGAGAATGAATCCCAAATTTTACTATTTTTAAGCAGGTAAACAACTACTTTTCTCAGCAAGGGAATTTTTTTTTTTTAAGTATAACTGATGTACAATATCCTATTCATTTCAGGTGTATATCATAGTGATTTGATATTCTTATACATTATGAAATGATCTGCAGGATAAGTCTAGCTCCTGTCTGTCACCATACAACACTAATACAATACTATTGACTATATTCCCCATGCTGTACATTATATCCCCACGACTTATTTATTTTACAACTGGAACTTTGAACATCTCTCTTTCACTATTTCACCTGCGCCCACTCTGATAACCAACAGTTTGTTCCCTCTATGAGTCAAAAACAGACTGTTTAATAACACAGAGGAAGATTCTGCTTATAATCGAACAAAAAATTATTCCAAGCATCTTAAATTGGGGAAAAAATATCTTACAGTATACTCAGTTCCAATCCCCAGAGTTCCCAAATTGCTTAGTTAGAAGCCATCTAAGACAAGGAAAACAAACCACTTCTAAATGCACACAGCCTAAAAGCCTGCAGCACATAAAACCCAGGGCTTCATCCTATAATTAGTCCAGCAAAGGCACATGGCCTTTAAGAAAGAGGAAAGCGAACAGTAAGAACCCGGGGTAACTAATATGGACATTCATGCTCTTGTTTAACAAAAGCACACAGTAGAGAGTGAGCATGCAAATGCTTGATCCCAGGCCAACTTTTATGGCAAAAAAAAAAACAATTTCAGACAATGTACCCTGACATACAGAATTAATTCTTACAGTAGGAGATGACCTTGAAGAATCAAAGATTGGGAGGGATGTAGAAGACTAGCACACTCACTCTTTAGATTCAAGATCTCTCTCTCTCTCTCCCTCCATTCTACCTTAGTTGCTGATACACCTCTGCCCCACTTAGCTACTAACATACACATGTCACAAACAGCCAGTCACTTTCTGAAGCAGATGGGTTCAGATGACAACATTCTACTGTTAGATAAACAGTGTGATTTCACAGAGTTCCCCTGCCCATTGATGAAAACGAGACATCACAGTCAGCCACAGAAGACCAGAAAGGACAGAGGGGAAACACAGCCCACATGCACGTTAGAGAGAATCCCCATTCTGCCAGCCTGACTCCTAAAACTGCAAGGATTTTAGAGAAGGAAGCAACTCATTCCCAGATGAGAATTTCTTTCCTACAAATATGGAGAAAGACATAATTTTGCTCCCAAGTCTAATTCAGTGAGGACACCAGGCCTATAAATGCTTTTTTTTTTTCTTTCTTGAAGTTCTAGGTATCAGCAACACCTCCAGCAAGGACCAACAGGAGAGAAAATGGGACATTTGCCAGGCACAACGAAGGACTGAAAGTCAGTCCTGAGTGCAGTTTAGCATTAGAAGTGGTTATTATTTCCCTGAAAGGCAGAATATCTTTGCCTTTTGTTCTGGAGATTACTGCTATGTTTCACAAAGTATGGGGCTGCTCATTAAGATATTAAGGGTCTTTTTGAAGATATTATATGACATTCTAGAAGTAGACATTGTTTCCCCTATGCTGAAAACCCCACTCAATGGCTCTCCATTTCCCTCAAAGTAAAAAGGGAAGTCCTTGACCTTACAAACACCACCAAGGACTGATACAATCTGCTGCTCCCCAGTTCCCTACTTTGTGACCATATCTCCTGTAACGTACAACCTCACTGGTACCACTCAGATCACACTGTCCCTTAACTAGTCCATGAACACCAAGCAGCCTCCCACCTCCAGTACTTGCCGTAGCTTTTCCCTCTGCCCGGAACACTGCTTCCCAGATATTCACATGAGTCACCCCTCCATCTCCTTCAGGCCTCTGCTCAAAGCACATCTTCTCAGTGGGATGATCTCTAGTTATCTCAATCTCCATTAACTCTGCTCTATTTGGGTGTCTGTTTCATTGTTTCTTTTTTTGTAGCACTTGCCAACTTTTAACATACTATATAGTTAACCAATGTATTATGCATTACTTACTGTCATCTCCCTGCAACAGAATGTCTACATTATTTACCAGTACATCTTAAAGCACACAGAAGAGCACCAGGCACATAGTCAGTGATTATGTATTGAAAGGATGAACGACAACATTTTGTATTCTAAATTCTCCATCAAATTCTTCTGATTATAGCAAAGAGAGAGTCTCAGAGTGGTGATAATGTTTGACAATTCTCTACCACTTGGTAATCTCTTTTTCCCTTCTAATGTTTTTGGATTTTTGTTTTCTAGGTATAATTTACTGACCATAAAATCAACCCATTTTAAGTGTAGATTTCAGTGTCTTTTAGAAAATGTTTTGAAGTTGTGCACTAATCTCTCTTCCTCACAGGAAGAATGGAGACTTTAGCCTATTCCCAGCAAGAGCATCGGCTGGAATGTAATGATACTGCTCTGTTTTCACCAGCTAGATTTTTCTGGTTACTTTTTCTTCTGTCTAATGATACTGATTTTCCACTTAAAGTGGTAATATAAAGCTTCCTTTTAAAAAATTTATTTGTAAAAAAATTGAGTTGACTTTTTAAAGTATTAAATAGATAACAATAGATATAATCCAAAGATAAAGCAAAAACTGTAAGAGTATTAAAGAGAACAGCAAGGTTTGTGAAACACTGACTCATGGGATGCAGACCTGTTGGTCTCACAGACTACAGAGCTGCAACTAGTTTCAAAAATAAAATACAAGGCATTGCCACTTACTTCTAGGGACCCCCTCAATCCCCATCAGTCTTTGTTGGGAGACTATAATAGTTCTCATGTTTCTGCATGTCTTCTGAGCAAAGTACTGACTGTCCTTTGTCTCAGACACTCTTTGTAAGGATATTTTGTATCGTGAATAGCCTTGAAGGATATAGTTTCTCCTTCTGGAACAAAGGGCAGGATTGCTGACAGACTTGGAGGACAAAGACAATGTCTTGATTTGGAGCAAGAAACAGACATGCTTACTACCCATTATAAAAATGCAGGTTCCTTTAGCTCAGGTTCATCTCCCATAATGCAAACTCTCCATGTTCACAGATTACCTGGCCCACTTTGTACTGCCCTGTAGAAACAGGCTTGGAGAACAGGCACAAAAATCCTGGTACTCTGACTATTGCTAATGTTTTAAATAATAAACTCTCCTTATCTCTGACCTAGGAGTCTCATGTCTTATACCCATATTGCAGCAGATTAATTCATTATCTTGCAAGTAAGAGGGAATCTCAGATCCTTTACAATTCTTGAAAGTCCTCACCTCATTGTGGATATCTTCTCCTTGTTTCAAAACTGCAGGATCCAATGATTTCAAAGAAATATCACCATTGCCCACCTCATCACGGACATTCTGCAGAGCCAACTGGCAGCGCTGCAAGATATAATCCAAGGTTCCTGTCGAGCACTGCAGAGACAGAACCAGCAATCAAGATTATAAACAAAATCCAGGTTTACCATGCCTCTCTTCCTGGAGGTGTTCACATTTGTCCCCTTCCTGTACATTCACCTGTCACCCTTACAAACTCAGCCTCCACTCCTTAAGAAGTACAAGTTGCTTGCTCACCGCGCTCTGTGCTGTCAGTTTGGCCACACCTGGGTGGCTCATCTTGCTGGTTTTCTTTCATCAAGCAGGCCAAGTCTCTCTAACTAAACAAGTAGGCTCCCTGAGGCGAAGGCCATATATATACTATTTATTTATATATGTATTCTTTTCTACATATACTACAGCATTTAAAATTGAATCCTAAATGTAAAAGAAACCTCATAAATAGCTACTGAATGCATAACTAATCCACACTGTGGATTAACTTAACCACAAAGTCAAGGATACTGATTTTGTCCCAACTGCCCCAAATCTAGCACTGAGAAAGAAAAGGAACCAGACTGTAGAACTGGTTCGACAGCACACAAAATGGAACAGTACTGGCAGAAAAATAAACTGAAGCTATAAACACAGGGCAAAGAACTCATTTTCTTTTTCTGCAAAAACCATACATTAAGCAGTTGCTATCCTTGGCAGAATAGATTCTTCAAATAGTGGAAATGTGGCTCATGCCCTCAAGGCATGTCGAAGGCATCACTTAGCATGGGGGTATCAGCAAGGGCACAGATAACTAGTTCATCTCTCTCTCTGGGTATATGGGAGCAAAACAGAGGTTAAATGGACAAACTCCTTCTTTGAATGATCTATGTCAGAAAAGAAAAGGATGCAGATGTAGTGGGCACCCATTTGTCTTGGTACTGACATGATTTCCTAGAATGACAGAAAGGAAGCTATAAATATTATTTAGACCCAGTGAGGGAAATGAGTCCCTAAAGCATCCACATTTTAATATTTATAATTTAAACTGATCCCTTAGAAAGAACCTTAAGCTTAATCCCCTGGTACAAAAATTATTTTAACAGTTACTGCCATTTTATACAAGGTGACACGGAACAAGCATGAGAAAAACAAAGCTACTGTGCCAAAAACAGAAGCTTGACTAATAAGTATTTTAATATGAAGATCTCAGTGCTGGGAGCACATGGGCAGGCAGGCAGCTCCAATTTACTACAAAGAAAAAAACCAAAAATGCAGCTGAATTACAACTCACTTTTCTCCCACAGCCACTCCTACAACACCTTTTTAAATGACACTCTCTATAAACATATTCTACTTGCACCTACATAAGGGGTTATTAATTGCAATGTTATTTCTTATAACAAATTATTGGAAACAACCTATATTTCCTCTCAATAGGGGACTAGTTAAACTAGGGTAGAGAAATACTTGAGCCAAAATAAATAAATAAAGGAAGGAAGAGAGAGATACATTTTTCCTGGGTGTACAGTGTTTTATTTGATGTAAAGAACCTATCATCGGGCCTGGGTTTTTGTTTTGTTTCATTTTTTTTATAACAGTTTTATTGAGATATAATTCACATGTCAAAAAATTCATACATGTAAGGCATACAATTTGATTTTTCTTGGTACATTCAGAGTTGTGCAGCCATCACTATTACTTTTAGAACATGCTTATCACCCCCAAAAAGAAATCCTGTAGCTCTCAGCAGTTACCCCCTCCCATTTCCATCAGCCTCCCCAGCCCTAGGCAACCACTAATCTACTTTCATGTCTATAGATATGTCTATTCTGGTCATTGCATATAAATGAAATCATACAATTAGTCTTGTATGACTGGTTTCTTTCACTTAGCATAATATTTTCAAGGTTCATCTAGGTATCAGTACTCCATTCCCTTTTATTGCCAAGTAATACTCAATTGTATGGATAGGCATATCTATAGGCCTTTTGCTTAACCCCATTCATTAGATGATGAACCTTTGGGCTGCTTCTACTTTAGGGCAATTATGAATCGAGCTATGAACATTCATGTCCAAATTTTCCCTTCTCTTGGGTCTGTGGGTAGGCATGGAATTGCTAGATCATATAGTAACTCTGTAACCTTCTGAGGAAGCGCCATACAGTTTTCCAAAGTGGCTGCAACATTTCACATTCCCTCCAGTGGTTCCGATTTCCACTCATCTTCACCAACACTTGTTACTGTGAGTTTGATTACCTAGTCATTCTAGTGCGTGGGAAGTAGTAGCTCCTTGTGACTTTGATTTGCGTTTCCCTGATGACCAATGATGTTGAGCATCTTTTCATGTGTTTATTGGCCATTCGTCAATTTTCTTTGCAGACATGCCTATTCAGACCTTGTGCCATTTTTAAAAGTTGGCTTTTAATTACTGAGCTGTAAGAGTTATTTATATATTCTAAAGACAAGTACCTTGTGAGATGTATGATTTGCAAATATTTCCTTCCAATCTGTGGGTTGTCTTTTCACTTTCTTGATGGTACCCTTTGAAGCATAAAAGTTTTTTCAATTTGAATGAAGTAAAATGTACCTATTTTTCCCTTTGGTTGCTTGTGCTTTTAGTGTCACACTAAAAAAAACAGTGCCCACTCTAAGGTAAGAATTACATTTTGATAAGTAGTTATTACTAAGGTTTGCTGAAACAAAACAAAAAGTGCAGAGTGGTGTGGAGAGTAGGTACCATTTGTATAAAAAATACTTTTTAATTACATACATATTTGCTTCTGTATGTACGTAAGTATCACAGAAAGGGTAACAAGAATCTGATGACCTTGGTTGCCTCTGGGGAAGAGGAGCTAGTTGGCCTGAGTAGAAAGAGACTTGAACTGTATACTCCTAGATACTTTCCAAATTTGAACCATTTGAGTAATTACCTATTCAAAATAAAATTATACATAAAATTTAAGTTTAAAAAAAAAAGATATTCTGTCTTGAATTTCACGAACATTCTGTAACAATCAGTAAAAAACTAAAATCTAATAAAGGTCGAGAGTCATCAGATCTCAACTTAATTCAGTCATATGCACCCAAAAACCTGAATAGATTTCTTCCATCATTAACTTATATCAATTTTAAAACATCATTTCCTTAAAACAATTTCCTACATATTGTGAATAGACAGAAAATAGCAAATCTTTTTGTTCGGCTCAGATAAGGCATGTAATGTTTATATTGTATGAAGGAGAAGACATTAATAGAGTAAGTGAGGGCTATAAAGTTACATGGATTGTTTCTTCCTCTTTTATTACTGAAAACAATAATTTAGGATGAAATAAAAATTTTTAAGTAAGACAGAAACATAATCCCACCACCTTACCCTATTTTAATTATTTTTAGTGCATGTGATTTTTTGCCCACACAATTGTAATCAGTATATACATATCATTGTATATAGTTTTTCACTCTCTGTACATAAGTACTCAAAGCTACCATTTTCAATCGTTGCTCAGTGACGTGATAAAAAAACTTTATTAACTAGTCACATACTATAAAGGCACTGAGATTCTATCCAACTTTTTGCTATTACTAATCATGCTAAAGAAACATCTCTCTCTATATATAAATATATACACAAACCCACTTCATATACATAAATAAATACACACACATTCTTTTGAATTATTTCCCAAAAACAGTATTATGAGATCAAAGATACAAATATTTTTATGCATACCTCCATATAGCTTTCCAAAAAGTATACCAGTTAGAAAAACTACTAGAAGTATATAAAGTAATGTACCAGTAACTTTACCAGCACTGAATATTACTGTTTTTGACTTCTACAGAAATACTTTGGTAGAAATAAAAAGTTACCTTAAAATGGTGATTTTTAAAAATTACTTTTAACTTCAAGGTGATTTTTAAAGTATGTATACACTTGGTCACGTATAAGAGTCAGCAAACTTTTTCTTAAAAGGCCAGATAGTAAATATTTTGGTTTGTACTTCCTAAGATCTGTATAGTGGCTGATTTGTCACTACAGCTCCAAAGCAGCCATAAACAATATATAAACAAATGAGTGTTGCTGTGTTCCAATTAAAATTGTATTTCCAAAACAGCTGCCTGGCCCATGCGCCATAGTTTGCTGACCCTGGTCTATAATATAGAAAGCAAGGCAGTCACATCACTCCCATCATATATGTCTTAAGCAGTAAAATGTCATGAAGAACTAAGAATATAAAAGACATTAAGGTAATGTTTTTTCTCCCAAGAGCATCGCTACACATATCTAACACTTCATTATAAGGTATTTAATTCATGCTCACAATTTTGCCTAAAAATCAGAAGATACAAATACAGCTATGAGTAAGAAGAAAAAGCTAAACCTCAAGTTATTTGAAAACACAGCTACTCTCATAAAAGTAGTCCACCTAGAAAAAAGGAAACAAGGCCAGAGGGGTCCTTTTCACACTGAACTTTTGTGTATGTGTGTATTTCTTGCAGGAGGTAGAGTAGAGGTTCCCTAATCTCTCAGAAGTTTTAGGCCCGTATTTCCAATTTCTGTTAGACTTCCCCACGTGGCAGCTCCAAAGCAGCCTGTTCAAAACATGAGGAACTATTTCTTCCCCTAATGTCTTAGACTCCCTGCTTCTACTAATGGTGTCATCTCCGAATCTCCCAGAGCCATTCAAGAACCTGGCAGATGAAAAGCATCCAACAAAGTTTGACTGGTTTGCTCATTCGCTCATTCATTCATTCATTCACTACATCCCTCTCTCTACATGGCCAAGCCTAACACTGTCTCCTGTTACTCACAGGAATGCCTTCTTTTTCCTGCTGTCACCACCTTGGTTCAGGTACATTTCATTGATGCTTAGTTTAACTGATGTCTCTTATCATTTTCGTCTTACTAAATATGTCTCTAATGCATCACTACCAAGATAACAAATAATCAGTAACCCCCACCTGTTAACGAACTCAAGTGCAAACACCTACTCTGACATCCTAGGTCTTTTGCAATCTGGTCCCATGGAGGTATCAGCCTTATCTGCTATCTGGGATCCAGTCCAAGTATGGCCACTCAATAGCCCTATGTATCCCCATCC